GAGTCCAGAGCCACGATCAGCAGGAGGCTGATCAACATCCCCCCTCCTGTGATCCAGTGAGCAGACTTTCAAACTAATAATCATAAAATAAAAACTAAAATAACCGTTAATTAATTATTGTGTTAACGTGCCCAGACCTAAAATAATTGTCTGTGACAATAAAGTACCTTTACAGATAAACACATTATATATATATATATATATATATATATATGTGTGTGTGTGTGTGTGTTTGTGTGTGTGTGTATATACACAAGGAACTACTACATAGGAAAATAACAGGGAGGTTGTTTGATCCTTTACGAGGTTGTAAAAGAAGTTTGAAAAGTTCGTCTGGGGCAGGATGTGAGTCAGAAGTTGGTGACCTGCTTCCTTTAGAGGGTTGCAGTTGAACCTGACAGACCGGATGTTTTACCTGTAAAGAAACAGCTGAAGTGATTTCTGACCGCGTCGCTGTCAGTCCTGCTGAGAGTCACTGACAGATCTGCAGGAAGCCTCCGGCAGGAAACTGAGTCAGGGCGTGTTAATCTGTAGGTAAAGCTGATCACAGCCCGTCTTCATGCTGCACAGACTCAGTGCTGAGTGAAATAAAGTGGCTTTTTAATTACTGGAGAGAGGCCATTAGCAGCTCGCCCACTCTGCAGCGCTTGGCAGCTTCTCAGTGGAAAGACGAGCAGCAGGGAGCCCGTCAGAAAATTCAATTAACAAGCAGCTGAAAGAGACTTCGAACGCATTCCTCTGCTACACGGCGGCCTTTATTTAACCTTTGTGTTGTGGCAGCTGATGGTTTCGTGTTTCGGGTGGAGGCTGCTGAGCAGCCGGTCCAGGTTTGGATCTGGAGGCTCAGAGGAAGGTAAAGAGACGGACAGGAAAACCAGGACCCGGAAGAGGCCGTGCAGCCCTGTAGAGCTCTGAGGCTTCATCAGCTGGCTCGGTTGTTGCAGCCTGAAGCGGAGGTGGAGTGATAAGTGAAGCGCATCCAGAGTTACATAAAGAAGCAGCAGAACACGCTGGGCTGGAGCTGTTCTGTGATCGGCCTGAAGTCGTCCCTCGGGTCCTCTCCGTGCGTTTCTGCGGTTACATAACGCCCAACATCACGGAGCTAATCATAGAGCCGGGCTGTCTCCGGCGTTCCTGTTCCTGATGTTCTCACCTTCAGATCATTTTAGTTATTTACACTTCCTCACAGCAGCAGCAGCACTTCACCTCAGAGGCATCTAAACCTTTTCTCCCCACAGCTCACGTGACTTTAACTCATTACCTCATAATTGTTTTAATAAATTCTAACTTTATCTCATTATATAATGATCTCTAATTAAATTAAATATTAAATTATATTAGTAAAATGTCGTTTATTATTTGATTATAATCACAATATGTAAGAGATTCTGACTTTACTCATAACTATATACATATACGTGTGTGTGTGTGTGTGTAGATGGTTATGTGTGGACACGTAATGTCCCGCCGGCGGCTGAAGGTCGGTGGTCTGACGGAGGTGACGGGCTGGAACAGATGCAGCAGCAGGATAATCTCCACCCCTCCGTCACATTTAGATCTTCGATTAAAAGTTAACGAGCTGAGCGGCAGAGGCGTGTCGAGCAGCCGACGTATTTCCAGCCTGCGGGAACACAAAGGCTGCACGTTCCACCGCAGCACAATGAGGAGGAGCAGGAGGAGGAGGAGGAGGAGGAGGAGGAGGAGGTGGTCAGGGAGATAAGAGCTGCTTTAATCCTCCGTTAACCAACAACACATCCCACAGGTGGACTTTTAGTTTAGTGTTTCTCTTTCCAGAAATAAAAACATTTCCACCAGAAGCCGGAGCGGTTATGAATCCTGGGGGGCCCCTCATACGACCGGCCCTCGGGATCTGTGTGTTGGGATGATGCTTTAATGCAGGTAAACTCGGTCAGACAGAAGCATAAAGGCATTACCACAGATTAGTGTGGATTATAGAGCGGGGATTATATATGATGGGGGCAGAATTGATCTGGAAGTGGGACAGCCATCAGTAATCGAATCGAGGTCAGCCTCGTGTCATGTGACTCCGATCAATCTGATGATTACATGTCGGCAGCTAACATGCTGGACCGGCAGCTGGATTAGAGACCGTTTAAACAGCCTCACTGGCTGCAGGAGGAGGAGACCGGATCCACCTGAACCTCCTTCTGGCGAACAGACTCTGGTGGTGGCGCTCTGCAGGGCTGCTCCCCCACTAAAGATCCTCCTGGTGGACTAGTAGTTTTCATTATTTATTTATTGACTTTATCATTTTTTACTTTTCATTTATAGAGATTTTGTAAAGTATATATTTGATCATACTTTTTGGAGTATTTATTAAATTATTGAGTTTTTATTTAATTATTTATTTTCTTTCTTTCTTTTAATTTATTTATTGATTTTTTTAAAATATTTTTTGAATTTTTAGTTATTTTTTTGGTTTTATTTATTTATTTATTGAATTTTATTATTATTATTATTATTTAATTTATTAAAGAAACAGAGTTTTTATATAGTTTAGAGTTTTTATTTATTTATTCATTAAGTTTTTTTTTTAATTTGTTAGTTTTTATTTATATATTTATTAAGTTTTTTTTTTAATTTGTTAGTTTTTATTTATATATTTATTAAATTTTCACATATGTTGTCCTCCTGGTTCCTCCTCCTGGTTTCTCCTCCTGGTTCCTCCTGGTTCCCCCTCCTGGTTCCTCCTTGTGTCCTCCTCCTTGTGTTCTCCTACTGGTTCCTCCTGGTTCCCCCTCCTGGTTCCTCCTTGTGTCCTCCTCCTTGTGTTCTCCTACTGGTTCCTCCTGGTTCCTCCTTGTGTCCTCCTCCTTGTGTTCCTCCTCCTTGTGTCCTTCTCCTTGTGTCCGCCTCCTTGTGTTCCTCCTCCTGGTTCCTCCTTGTTCCTCCTTGTGTCCTCCTCCTGGTTTCTCCTGGTTCCTCCTTGTGTCCTTCTCCTGGTTCCTCCTCCTGGTTCCTCCTTGTTTCTCCTGGTTCCTCCTCCTGGTTCCTCCTGGTGTCCTCCTCCTGGTTCCTCCTGGTTCCTCCTTGTGTCCTCCTCCTGGTTCCTCCTCCTGGTTCCTCCTGCTGGTGTCCTCCTCCTTGTGTCCTCCTCCTGGTTCCTCCTGGTTCCTCCTGGTGTCATCCTCCTGGTTCCTCCTTGTGTCCTCCTCCTGGTTCCTCATCCTGGTTCCTCCTGTTGGTGTCCTCCTGCTGGTGTCCTCCTCCTTGTGTCCTCCTGGTTCCTCCTACTTGTTCCTCCTTGTTCCTCCTTGTGTCCTCCTCCTTGTGTTCCTCCTCCTGGTGTCCTCCTCCTGGTGTCCTCCTACTGGTTCCTCCTGGTTCCTCCTTGTGTCCTCCTCCTTGTGTTCCTCCTCCTGGTGTCCTCCTCCTGGTTCCTCCTTGTGTCCTCCTCCTTGTGTCTTCCTCCTTGTGTTCCTCCTCCTGGTTCCTCCTACTGGTTCCTCCTGGTTCCTCCTGGTGTCCTCCTCCTGGTTCCTCCTGGTTCCTCCTTGTGTCCTCCTCCTGGTTCCTCATCCTGGTTCCTCCTGTTGGTGTCCTCCTGCTGGTGTCCTCCTCCTTGTGTCCTCCTGGTTCCTCCTACTTGTTCCTCCTTGTATCCTCCTGGTTCCTCCTACTTGTTCCTCCTTGTTCCTCCTTGTGTCCTCCTCCTTGTGTTCCTCCTCCTGGTGTCCTCCTCCTGGTGTCCTCCTACTGTCTTCCTCCTGGTTCCTCCTTGTGTTCCTCCTCCTGGTTCCTCCTACTGGTTCCTCCTTGTTCCTCCTTGTGTCCTCCTCCTGGTTCCTCCTTGTGTCCTCCTCCTTGTGTTCCTCCTCCTGGTTCCTCCTACTGGTTCCTCCTTGTGTTCCTCCTCCTGGTGTCCTCCTCCTTGTGTCCTCCTCCTGGTTCCTCCTTGTTCCTCCTTGTGTCCTCCTCCTTGTGTCCTCCTCCTGGTTCCTCCTTGTTCCTCCTTGTGTCCTCCTCCTTGTGTCCTCCTCCTGGTTCCTCCTACTGGTTCCTCCTACTGGTTCCTCCTTGTTCCTCCTTGTGTCCTCCTCCTTGTGTTCCTCCTCCTTGTGTCCTCATCCTGGTTCCTCCTTGTTCCTCCTCCTGGTGTCCTCCTCTTTGTGTTCCTCCTCCTGGTTCCTCCTACTGGTTCCTCCTTGTTCCTCCTTGTGTCCTCCTCCTGGTTCCTCCTTGTGTCCTCCTCCTTGTGTTCCTCCTCCTGGTTCCTCCTACTGGTTCCTCCTTGTGTTCCTCCTGCTGGTGTCCTCCTCCTTGTGTCCTCCTCCTGGTTCCTCCTTGTTCCTCCTTGTGTCCTCCTCCTTGTGTCCTCCTCCTGGTTCCTCCTTGTTCCTCCTTGTGTCCTCCTCCTTGTGTCCTCCTCCTGGTTCCTCCTCCTGGTTCCTCCTACTGGTTCCTCCTTGTTCCTCCTTGTGTCCTCCTCCTTGTGTTCCTTCTCCTGGTTCCTCCTACTGGTTCCTCCTTGTTCCTCCTTGTGTCCTCCTCCTTGTGTCCTCCTCCTTGTGTTCCTTCTCCTGGTTCCTCCTCCTGGTTCCTCCTTGTGTTCCTTCTCCTTGTGTCCTCCTCCTTGTGTTCCTTCTCCTGGTTCCTCCTCCTGGTTCCTCCTTGTGTTCCTTCTCCTGGTGTCCTCCTCCTTGTGTCCTCCTCCTTGTGTCCTCCTCCTTGTGTTCCTTCTCCTGGTTCCTCCTACTGGTTCCTCCTTGTTCCTCCTTGTGTCCTCCTCCTTGTGTCCTCCTCCTGGTTCCTCCTTGTTCCTCCTGGTGTCCTCCTCCTGGTTCCTCCTGGTCCATCAGCTTCCACAGGCTCCATATTTTAGCCTGTGGTCTGCAGGCGGAGCGGCTCTCTGGCGGGAGGCGGTCCTTATTCAGCATTCCAGCCGTCCTGCGTCAGGACGCCTCACGGGATTGGCCCATAGCACTGGCTGACCCCCTTCTCCGCTTCCTATTGGCCTGGGCAGGTGTCAGTCTCACAGTCCTCGGCGCTGTGACAGCTGACAGTGGAAGAAGGAGGAAAACAAACCTAATCCAAGCCGGGCGGCCATCTTTCCTGAGCTCGCTGAGGCAGGCGGAGAGCGGGAGTGAGGACGGAGGAACCTCGGCTGTCGACTTTCATTCAGTCCGGGATCACTAACGCGACCGGTCCACCCCCCTCACACAGGAGCACCTCTCCGCGGCTCGTGCTTTCCCTCCTCGGGATCCTTTAGGAGACCCGATCCCATCGAACCAGTCGGACTGCTAGCTGCGGAGCTAAGCTAACGGCTAGCCGGGGCAGCTAGCTGTTCGGTGACCGAGCTGGGTGCGTCAGAAGCGGATCAAAGACTGCAGTTTCGCTCGGTGATATTCCGGCTGATGGTGGACTCCGATCCCCGCGGACACCACCTCCTCGACGGGGACATGCTGTGAACACGGAGCCTGGAGGAAAGGTGGAGGTTTCAGGGATCCGGAGAGACTTTAACACCGATCCTGCAGTTGGACTTAATCCCCTTTGGAAATTCTCTAAATCAGCTCCACCGGGGAAAATGTCCTCCGTGACGCCCGACAAGAAGAATCCGCCCCGGACAGTATCCGAGAGGCCGCGGTGAACCGGCTGCTGTGGTCCCGCTGGAGAGACCCGAGACCCGGGATGTTCCACGGTTGATCGGCGGTGCCTCCGCCTCGTTCACCGGGCCTGTGCACAGATTAACGGGCTGGGACCGCCTCGGTGACCCTGCCCGGATCAGATTAAAGGGCTCACGTTAGACGGGAAAGACCGGGACGTGTTGCCGGATCTCGGTGTCCACCATAAGAATCAGCTCTGGTTTAAAGGGACGCTAATCCCGGTCCTGGTTTCGGGATTATAACTGACATTAAGCATTGTAGTCTTTGGATCCACAATGGGATCAGCGACCAAACTGGCCTTCAGCGTGTTCCTCATCTCCTGCTCCTCAGGTGAGCCCGCGCCTACCTGGCGGTACACACAGTACATACAGAGTACACACAGTACATACAGAGTACACACAGTACACACAGAGTACACACACACAGTACATACAGAGTACACACAGTACATACAGAGTACACACAGTACATACAGAGTACACACAGTACATACAGAGTACACACACACAGTACACACAGAGTACACACAGTACATACAGAGTACACACACACAGTACACACAGAGTACACACAGAGTACACACAGTACACACAGAGTACACACAGTACACACAGTACATACAGAGTACACACACACAGTACATACAGAGTACATACAGTATATAGAGTACATACAGTACACACAGTACATATAGAGTACATACAGTATATAGAGTACATACAGTACACACAGTACATACAGAGTACATACAGTACATACAGAGTACATACAGTACATACAGAGTACATACAGTACACACAGTACATATAGAGTACATACAGTACATACAGAGTACATACAGTACACACAGTACATATAGAGTACATACAGTACACACAGAGTACACACAGTACATACAGAGTACACACAGTACATACAGAGTACACACAGTACATACAGAGTACACACACACAGTACATACAGTACACACAGAGTGTACACACAGAGCATAGACACACAGTACATACAGTACATACAGAGAGTACACACAGAGTACATACAGAGTACACACACACTGTACATACAGAGTACACACAGTACATACAGAGTACACACACACAGTACATACAGAGTACACACTGTACATACAGAGTACATACAGAGTACACACACACTGTACATACAGAGTACACACACACTGTACATACAGAGTACATACAGTACATACAGTACACACAGTACATACAGAGTACACACACACTGTACATACAGAGTACACACACACAGTACATACAGAGTACATACAGTATATAGAGTACATACAGTACACACTGTACATACAGAGTACACACACACAGTACATACAGAGTACACACACACTGTACATACAGAGTACACACACACTGTACATACAGAGTACATACAGTATATAGAGTACATACAGTACACACAGTACATATAGAGTACATACAGTATATAGAGTACATACAGTACACACAGTACATATAGAGTACATACAGTATATAGAGTACATACAGTACACACAGTACATACAGAGTACATACAGTACACACAGTACATACAGAGTACATACAGTACACACAGTACATACAGAGTACATACAGTACATACAGAGTACATACAGTACATACAGTACATACAGAGTACATACAGTACACACAGTACATACAGAGTACATACAGTACACACAGTACATACAGAGTACACACAGTACATACAGAGTACACACAGTACATACAGAGTACACACAGAGAGTACACACAGAGCATAGACACACAGTACATACAGTACATACAGAGAGTACACACAGAGTACATACAGAGTACACACAGAGTACACACACACAGTACATACAGAGTACATACAGAGTACACACACACAGTACATACAGAGTACATACAGAGTACACACACAGTACATACAGAGTACACACACACAGTACATACAGAGTACACACACACAGTACATACAGTACATACAGAGAGTACACACAGAGTACACACACACAGTACATACAGAGTACACACAGAGTACACACACACAGTACATACAGAGTACACACACACAGTACATACAGAGTACACACACACAGTACATACAGAGTACACACACACAGTACACACAGAGTACATACAGTACACACAGAGTACATACAGTACACACAGAGTACATACAGTACACACAGAGTACACACAGAGTACATACAGTACACACAGAGTACACACACTACATACAGAGAGTACACGGAGAGTACACACACAGTACACACAGTACACACACAGTACATACAGAGTACACACAGTACATACAGAGTACACACAGTACATACAGAGTACACACAGTACATACAGAGAGTACACAGTACATACAGAGAGTACACACACAGTACATACAGAGTACACACAGTACATACAGAGGGTACACGGAGAGTACACACACAGTACACACAGTACACACACAGTACATACAGAGTACACACAGTACATACAGAGTACACACAGTACATACAGAGAGTACACACACAGTACATACAGAGTACACACAGTACATACAGAGAGTACACGGAGAGTACACACACAGTACACACAGTACATACAGTACACACAGAGTACATACAGTACACACAGAGTACACACACAGTACATACAGTACACACAGAGTACACACAGAGTACACACACAGTACATACAGTACACACAGAGTACACACACAGTACACACACAGTACATACAGAGATTACATACAGAGAGTACACACACAGTACACACAGTACATACAGAGAGTACACACACAGTACATACAGAGAGTACATACAGAGAGTACAAACACAGTACATACAGTACATACAGAGAGTACACACACAGTACATACAGAGAGTACATACAGAGAGTACACACACAGTACATACAGAGAGTACATACAGAAAGTACACACACAGTACACACAGTACATACAGAGAGTACATACACAGTACATACAGAGATTACATACAGAGAGTACACACAGTACATACAGAGAGTACACACAGTACATACAGAGAGTACACACAGTACATACACAGTACATACAGAGATTACATACAGAGTACACACAGTACATACACAGTACATACAGAGAGTACATACACAGTACACACACAGTACATACAGAGAGTACATACACAGTACACACACAGTACATACAGAGAGTACATACAGTACATACACAGTACATACAGAGAGTACATACAGTACATACACAGTACATACAGAGAGTACACACAGAGCATAGACACACAGTACACACACAGTACATACAGAGAGTACATACAGTACATACACAGTACATACAGTACATACAGAGAGTACACACAGAGCATAGACACACAGTACATACAGAGATTACATACAGAGTACACACAGTACATACAGAGAGTACACGGAGAGTACACACACAGTACACACAGTACATACAGTACACACAGAGTACACACACAGTACATACAGTACACACAGAGTACACACAGAGTACACACACAGTACATACAGTACACACAGAGTACACACAGAGTACACACACAGTACATACAGAGATTACATACAGAGAGTACACACACAGTACACACAGTACATACAGAGAGTACACACACAGTACATACAGAGAGTACACACACAGTACATACAGAGAGTACATACAGAGAGTACAAACACAGTACATACAGTACATACAGAGAGTACACACACAGTACATACAGAGAGTACATACAGAGAGTACACACACAGTACATACAGAGAGTACATACAGAAAGTACACACACAGTACACACAGTACATACAGAGAGTACATACACAGTACATACAGAGATTACATACAGAGAGTACACACAGTACATACAGAGAGTACACACAGTACATACAGAGAGTACACACAGTACATACACAGTACATACAGAGATTACATACAGAGTACACACAGTACATACAGAGAGTACACACAGTACATACACAGTACATACAGAGAGTACATACACAGTACACACACAGTACATACAGAGAGTACATACAGTACATACACAGTACATACAGAGAGTACATACAGTACATACACAGTACATACAGTACATACAGAGAGTACACACAGAGCATAGACACACAGTACACACAGTACATACAGAGAGTACACACAGAGCATAGACACACAGTACACACACAGTACATACAGTACATACAGAGAGTACACACAGAGCATAGACACACAGTACATACAGAGATTACATACAGAGTACACACAGTACATACAGAGAGTACACACAGTACATACAGAGAGTACATACACAGTACACACAGTACATACAGAGAGTACACACAGTACATACACAGTACATACAGAGAGTACACACAGTACACACACAGTACATACAGAGAGTACATACACAGTACACACAGTACATACAGAGAGTACATACACAGTACACACAGTACATACAGAGAGTACACACAGTACACACACAGTACATACAGAGAGTACATACACAGTACACACAGTACATACAGAGAGTACATACACAGTACACACAGTACATACAGAGAGTACATACACAGTACACACAGTACATACAGAGAGTACATATAGAGAGTACACACACAGTACATACAGAGAGTACATACACAGTACACACAGTACATACACAGTACACACAGTACATACAGAGAGTACACACAGTACATACAGAGAGTACACACAGAGTACATACAGAGAGTACACACAGTACAGAGTACACACAGAGAGTACACACAGAGAGTACATATAGAGAGTACACACACAGTACATACAGTACACACAGTACATACAGAGAGTACACACAGAGAGTACACACAGAGTACATACAGAGAGTACACACAGAGTACATACAGAGAGTACATACAGAGAGTACACACAGAGAGTACACACAGAGAGTACACACACAGTACATACAGTACTCACAGTACATACAGAGAGTACACACAGAGAGTACACACAGAGAGTACACACAGAGAGTACACACAGTACATACAGAGAGTACACACAGTACATACAGAGAGTACACACAGTGCATACAGAGATTACAAACAGAGTACACACAGAGAGTACACACAGAGAGTACACACAGAGAGTACACACAGAGAGTACACACACAGAGTACACACAGTCTACACACAGAGTACACACAGAGAGTACACACAGTACAAACAGAGTACACACAGAGTACATACAGAGAGTACACACAGAGTACACACACAGAGTACACACAGTACACACAGAGTACACACAGAGTACACAGAGAGAGTACACACAGAGTACACACACAGAGT